AACATGGACATGAACAAAGGAAATGAATGGAAGGCACACTGGTGCGCCTATGCAGGCCCCCTTACGGACCTCTTAGGAATGGGGTGAGGTCCATGGTAGACAGCTTAAGGTTGAAGCTGTGGGGATTTGAGGATGTAAGAATGGAGTCAGGTAGAGCATTCCAGGCGTTGACCACTCTGTTGCTAAAGTCGTATTTTCTGCAGTTGAGTTTGGAGTTGTTTACCTTGAGTTTGTATCTATTGTTTGCCTGTGTATTATTGAGGTTGAAGCTGAAGTAGTCATTGACAGGTAGGACGTTGTAGCAGACAAGTTTGTGTCCAAGTCCAAAATTTTGAGCCTGGTGGCATACGGAATTCTATTGTGAGCAGAGGAGTGGAGGATTCTTCTCATGAAATACCTCTGGACCCACTCAATTGTATTAATGTCCGATAAACAGTGTGGATTCCAGGCAGAAGAGCTGTATTCAAGAACTGGTCTGGCAAAGGTTTTGTATGCCCTAGTTTGCAGTATAATGTTACCAGAGAAGAAGCTTCATAAAATTAGGTTAACAACTCTTAATGCCTTTTTGGCAATGCTGTTATAGTGAGCTCTGGGGCTTAAATCATTTGAGATGAGTACTCCTAGGTCCTTGACAGAGTGAGGGTCATCTACGAGTTCGTATTTCTAAGGTAAAGGTTCCCCTCGAACATATGTGCTAGTTGTTTCTGATTCTAGGGGGCAGTGCTCATCTCCGTTTCAAAGCCGAGGAGCCAGCACTGTCCGAAGATGTCTCCCTGGTCATCTGGCCGGCATGACTAAATGCCAAAGGCGCACGGAAAGCTGTTACCTTCCCACCAAAGTGGTTCCTATTTTTCTACTTGCCTTTTTACATGCTTTCAAACTGCTAGGTTGGCAGAAGCTGAGACAAGTAACGGGAGCTCAGTCCATACATGGCACTAGGAATTTGAACTGCCAAACTGCCGACCTTTCTGATCTACAAGCTCAGCGTCTTAGCCACTGAGCCACCGCTCAGTATTTCTAAGAAGATCTAAAATTGACCCTCTCCCCAACTCCCCAATTTAAAGATAATTATTTGGGGAAACAACTCATTTATGCCCAATGATGTCTTTTTAAGGGGCTGTTAGTTGAATCTACATTGGCTAAAGATTAAACTAAACAAGGCATTAACTGTGTGTATGCAATTACAACATACTTTTTCTGTGCATGAAGCAATAGAGCCACATACTGTACAAGTCTCCCAGCCAGAGAAATAAGTTAAGGGGAATTTAATGTTTCTTTTCTTTTCCTTCATTTTAACACTCAACAAAAAGCCTTTGGGAGTTTTCTGTGAAATGCCAACAGCAGTTTCAAATGAAAATTTTAATCAGGACAGTGAATGAGAAAAAAAGGATGAACTTTCCATCTCCAGAGGTCTGCTAAGGTTCCACTCACAGAATAGCAGTTAACCTCCCACTGTGTTTGGCTTCAAAAATTGTAAAGTCAACCCAATGTGGAATTTCATCATTACCCCCTTAAACTTTAGATAGGATCTAAGAAATCAAGAGAGTTTTGATTTGCTCTGTGTGGTGATAATTGATTAACTGCACATGGTAAGGTTGATGGCTGAAAGGAGTACTAAGTAACTCTGATTAGTGAAACTGGTTGTTTGTTTAGCACACTTTTTTTTCTTAAGCTAAATTATAACCTTTTTGGTGGCAAGTAATAAATAGCTTTGTCGATAAACCAATATGGTTGGAGGCTAAATAAAGAAGGAAGGAAGGGCATGGCTTCCCCAGGGTTGTGGTTTCCTGACCATGTTCTGAGGCCAAAACAAAAATGCAACTCATGATGAATACTGGAACAACGATATCAGCAGAGAACTAAAGAAAAAACATCAATGTGTGGAAATGAACTACTCTTTGGCTAGAGATCGATGGGGAAACTATTAAAAATCTCATCAAATTTTAAAAATGTGCTCACAACAGAGCAGGCTTTAATAGAAATAGTCCTCGTCTTATATCCACAATTGAGACCAAAAATTATGTTGTTAGGTGAAACATTTGTTCAGTGAGCTTTACCCCATTTTACAAACTTTCTTGCCATGGTTGTTAAGTGAATCACTGTAGTAGTTAAGTTAGTAACATGGTTGTTAAGTGAAGCTGGCTTCCCCATCAACTTTGCTTGTCAGAAGGTCGCAAAAGGTGGATCACATTACCCCGGGACACTGCAACCGTCATAAATATGAGTCAGATGCCAGGCGTTCTGAATTCTGATCATGTGACCATGGGGATGGCTACAATGATCATCAGTGTGAAAACTGGTCGTAAGTTCCTTTTTTCGGTGCCGTTCTAAATTCGAATGGTCACTAAACAAATTGTTTTAAATCAAGGACTAGCTGCACTGAAGTAGTGGCCCCAAAATTGGTCAAAACCTGACACAGAATAGGCTGGGCAGAGTTCCGATTAGTAAAGTTGTTATTTTTTTCACTGACTCACATTTTTCAACTAGACTGATGATTCGGGTTGAATTATTAAACTGGGTGCCTTCATATCCTTTGATGATTTGGTAAGGCTTTTGACCTGAGGAAAATTGAAGCAAGTTAGAATGATCAAAGCAGTGGTGAAATTCAAAAATTTTCCCTACCGGTTATGTGGGCGTGGCTTGGTGGGTGTAGCAGTCATGTGACTGGGTGGGTGTGGCTTGGTGCAACAAGCAGGAAGCTCACAGTCACAGAGAGCTCAAAAGCAAACTATCACACTTTGCACAAAAATAACACCAAAGCTACACAACTGACCCGCGCACAATCTCACGCACATCAGCTGTGACAATCAGTTTGCTGCGCGATCATGGGAACCTTTTTAAAAAAAATTTAAAGTAATTTTTACTACCAGTCCAGGAGAATCGGTAGCACTTTTACTACCAGTTTGGCTGAACCAACCCGAACCGGGTAGCATTTCACTCCTGGATCAAACCAAGTGATGATATGAATCAAACCGTTGGTATCATCTGAAAAGATCTGAAACCAGTTTGCAAAGACTTTAAGAGGAGCGGGTGGGAAATAAGACACGTACCTTAATTGATGGAATCGTGAAGGAATAAGATGTACTACAAGGAGTTAAATCAGAGTCTGTTTAACAGAAATCTGATCCCCAGAGAACTTTGGTTGTCATTACAATAGTGAAGATGCTTGAACAAGCCATGCATTCTTCACTCACATTCATACTAAATGTGTTCTTGTTAACAGATTGAAATACAAAAAAAGTAGGAAAAAAGCACAATTACGGTAAAAAAAGTGACTACATTTAGATTTAAAAAATACTAAAAAAAAATGGCTTTCTAATGATACTTCCAATTGCTCCCTTCCATTTATATCGCCACCCTCTAACCATTGTTCAAATATTTAAGCTTTGCATTAAACATTAAGTAACGATTGCTAGTTTCTATTCATGTCTTAGAAACCATATTGCCGGTGTCTAAATCTGCCTTGCTCTGTGATATAGTTTACCCAAGAGAGTCAATCCTGCTTCAATTTGGTTTAAAAAAATAATCTGTTGTGGACATATACTATCAATTTTGCCATTGTAGCTTAGTCTCCAGTCAGATACAGTAGGTAAAGTATCTCTTTTACAACTGGTTTAAATGGCCTATATGGGCCATTAATGGTGTGACGGGGGACTGAAAGATGAAAAAGTGCCATAATTTGATACTCCATGAAACAACCAGTAAGTCTGAAAAAAACACAAGATCACAGATATGCAAATAACATTGAGTACAGCTTCCATAGTTTATTCAAAACTTGTACAGGTACCAAAAACATAATGGAATAGAGTATTTTTATTACAACTTATAAAACAATTAAATAGTACAAATTATGCTTTAAGTTTGTTCATTTTTTTCCTTTTACATTACAATCTATACTTCTATGCAACATTTCTTTGCATTGCCAACACTTACTTGTGATAAAATTAAAAAGAAGGGAGAGCTATGCATTAATAAATTAATATTTTTACATCAAATAATAAAATATGACAGTTGTAGAACAAAAAACATCTTGTTGTAGAGAAAGATCTATCTCATTTTAAAATGTTCAAGGAAAGTCTACTTAGAACTCAAGGTTTTTGGAATAATCATTTCTTAATGCATCACATTTCATGTTGTTCCTTGCAAAAAAGGAACTGCTAATTTTGACTGACCACTTTCTGACATTAATGTTGACGTGTCTAATTTTAGATCAGAAATGATAGTTTGGAGAGCCATAAATCTGAACTACATTCACCCAGGGATGATGTGGGATTGGCTGGAAAGAGGACAAAAATGTCCACTATAGCCATGCCCCAGAAAATTACATGAAAATATAAGCTTCTTCAGATGTATTGGTTTTAGCAAAGAGATCTCTTTGTACTCCGGTTTACCGTTTGAGCATTCAAAATCTATTCTTTCCATATGGGATACAAGTTGTTTCTACTTATTCCACGAATGATGAATCCACTAATATCAGTTGTACTGCAAACAAGGGCTGTGACTGAATTGATGTGCCAATTGTCCTAGATCAAATGGGGAAAAATATTTTCCAGCAGAGAAACACAAGTGTACAGGACCATAATTTTGACTAACATATAAAGAGCTCTTCTTCTGACTTATCATGGTACACTTAATAGCTGTATTTGCACAACACTTAACCGGATGACTGTATGGTATGGTTAAGTTTATGGTTTAACATGTTCCATGAAGTGGTTGGGTTTGTATTATATGGCAAATCATAAAAATAACACAAGACAAGGATAAAAGTAATCAGACGTACCTTGTTACTGTATCTAAATGCAGTTGGTACATCTTTAAGTAACCTGTTCAAAATGTTATACAAAAATAGCCAGTGCATTTAATCCTTGAGCCTATAAATCTGTAACCGTGTTTGTATTTAGGGCACAACTGATTATATCTGGAACATAGAAAAATGCAGGTTTGTTTTCTGGCCCTGCTCATATAAATGTATCTATAAAGAAAGAAATTTCTTTCAAGTGGTTTGCAGATGGAATGGATGAAGAAAAAATAACTATTTGTCTGCATAAAAGTTCAAGTAATCGCATTTTACATTTGTGTTTGAATTCAGCAAGATCAGTCTGAAATGGTTAATGAATTTAATGCAATTCCTACTATTTCGGCCATAGTTGCAATTTCCTTCTCATTTCTTTTAATGTTTGAATAGCAAAAAAATGTCTGGTTTTTACAAGGGACACCCAAGTCCTGGAACAGTCAGCAAAAATCAACTTCAATATTTAATGTAAACAAGATGATGGTGGAATTTTCAACATGAGTGAATAATAAGGCAAAGCCCATATGTAAGGTGTGAAATTCTCACAGAATGAAATTCTACTTTGCTCATACAACACAGAAATGCTATGTTTTAAAAAAAATTCAATGGGGTTTTGTTGGATGAGTATCCCAAGGCATGCCAGCCCATTCAAGTGGCTAGTAAACAATGACTGATTTATTGCTAAACATGGAAAGAGTAACACAACAAAGCAAGGAGTTCCATTTTGATATAGCCCTTAGTTTCCCAGAAGCACCTGAAATAGAAAAGCACCTTTATTCTTGATTGTGCAGTATAGCATTTGTCTAGATACCACACCACTGTTGTGTATAGCTATTCACAGTCTCAGCAGTCACTGTTGTAATAAGCCTAAGGGACAGTCTCCTCCTTATGAAGGACTCTGCTGACAAACACCACATTAGCTAACATGTCTCTATAAAATGTCCTGTTTCCCTATTTTAGGCTCTCTGTATTGACTCTGTAGAGGACCACCATGCCAAATATGCCAATCCAGTGGGTTCGGGATCAAGTTTGGCCATGAAGTGGGAATATTTCTTAGTCTTATTCCACCCTATGTTCAAAATCCAGTCCATGAAGATTCATCATAAATTTACCACTGTGATGTTACAAAGTTGCCATTTTCCTTGACAATTCAGGTGACGTTTGGTTCTGGAAAACCCAGTCTTGACAAAATAGAATCAACCTGATGAAGCCTCAGCCCGACATGTTCAAGTCAGCTCTTCCATGTGCATGATTTGCAGCACTGTTTGCCATAAAATTTGTGATTGCAGACACCGTGTTGAGGAACCAGGTGGCACCAAGCGAAGAAGTCCACGCAAGAAGGATCGTCTGTTTTGACGAAATCACAGACAGCATATTTAGTTTACAATTCAAATGAAACATAATTAACATTTCACTCCGTGTGTTGCATAGCCTTCACATCCAGTCAGATTTTTTTTAAAAAAAAATGATGAGAACTGTTTGAGAATGTTTCAGAGACTTTGGATATACAACAAAGCTGCTTTCTGTGGATTTACTTGCTAGAAAGAAGGTATCAGCTAACAGTTTGTGAAATTAGTATTTTGCATTATATAGTATTTAGCAGAGTAGTGCTGAGCTAGTTGAGGAATGGAAAGAAAAGGACTTCCATATACAGTACACAAAAAGAATGCCCATAGATGGTATTTATTTTATGAATTATCCTTTCAGCTCAAATCAGTTGTTTTAAGATACTTCACGGGCAAACAATTGATTTGTGGTTCGTGTTCTCTTCTTAAAGCATGTAATCTTGTACTGTAGGTCCTATATGCATTAAAAAACAAACTACATGATCATTAATGTACTGAAATGGGTTAGGAAAAACTGCAGCAAACGCCAGCTATTTCTGAAATGAAAAAAACACCTTTCATTTTACTCTTAATCGCTCAAAGCAAAAAGGCAGAGACAGTGCCAATATAATATCAGAACATCTAGTTTAGTATTTTCTTCTGACTGAGAAATACCCAACAGCAGGGCTGCCCAAACTGGGCAACTTTAAGACTTGTGGACTTCAACTCCCAGAATTCTCCAGTCTTAAAGTTGCCAAGCTTGGGCACCCCTGCCCTACAGTTATGGGAATAAAAGAGCCTCAGAATGATGATGGATGATGACGATGATAATGATAGTACCCTGTTTTCCCCAAAATAAGACCTCCCTGGATAATAAGCCCAATCAGGCTTTTGAGTGCATGTGCTAAAATAAGCCCTCCCCTGAAAATAAGCCCTCCCCCAAAATACTGCAACACAGCAGCAGCCATGAGGTGACCACGCTCGCCACCTCCTGCATCTCAAAAATAATAAGACCCCCCAAAAAATAAGGCCAAGTGCTTATTTCGGGGGGGGGGGGTTCAAAAGAAAATAAGACCCTATCTTATTATTTGGGGAAACATGGTAGTAGTAGTAGTTAGTTTACTTCTCTCATATCCTACACAGCCTCTTTTCCTGGGCATTTAGAATAGGTTTGACCATTTTCCTTCATAACTCTGATTTCATTAACTTCCAATTCTCCAAATGGTATTGATTTTTAGCCAAATGTACCCAAAAGTGGTATGGCTCCAAAAGAAAGACTGGTGGTGTGCTTTCCTGGGGCTGCATTATGTCAATTTCTGATCTCCAGTAACCAATTGCAGCTTCCCAGAGATGTAGTTTTTTTTTTAAAAAAATCAACCTTATCAAGACTGCCATTGACCCTGGGGATTTTTGCAGGCAAAGCAGAGGTAACATAGTTGTATAACTTTCGACAGTCTTTTGTTTAGAGAAAGAGAAGAAAAACCCCTTGGCTGATGCAGCTTCTCCAGGGGGAAAAAAATAAGCCTGACGTTCTGAATTCATTGCAACTCATCTTCCAGATACGAGCATCCAGTAGGACTGGAGAATGGAACCATTTTCTCACCCAAAACTGTTTGCTAATTTGTTCAATTTTGGAGAAGCAGCGATGAAACGTGAAGCTTGGTCACCTTCGTAAATAGCTCAGCCAGCCAACAGCATGCACGGTTTTCTTCCAAGAAAACTAAATTGACTTATAGTTTTGCAGTTTACAGGACATAACAAGATACTCAAGACGACCAATGGAGCAGATCAGCTTGTCTAGGGAAGCATGTTCATTCTCTCTTAAAAACCTCTTCCCCCCCCCCTTCTTCTTTTTTGCCCCCATCCTCTCTCAATGTTTCTCTGAGCAATGTGTTGGGTGAATAGAAGTGTTTGGCTTCAGTGCCGTTCAAGCACAGCTGGCCGTGTTCGCTGGTGGAGACTGATTAAAACCACAGTGAGGAAATAATTGATCTCTAGAGTCCAGAGATCTAGTTGTGAGAAAGCAAAAAAAAAAAAAAAAAAAGAGGTTTCTGCAGCTGGGAAAGAAGAAAGCTAAACCAAAAATGAGTAATAGGATCCATTTAGAGGAGTTTCGTTTTCCTACTTTGCTTCCTTATATGAGATAGAAATTGTTTCTGTGTGCATAGAGCAACGCTAAAAATGGGTAAAAGGAACCACATGAATTTATTGGAATAATGCTTTTTCAAAGGTCCAGGCTTCCGTGCATATTCCAGAAAAGCTATGTTCTGGAAGGAATCAGGCAGAAGCTCTAGAAAGAAATATGTTCTGGAAGGAATAAGAAAGCCATGATTTTAGATAGAGAATCTTTCCTTCTTTCCTACCTATGATGCAGAAAATATTGATAGCTCAGGACTGTGATGGAGAACCTATGGGATGAGTACCAGAGGTGGCACACAGAGCCCTCTCTGTGGGCATATGTGCCATTGCTAGCTGCTCTTCTGGTTTCCTATGCATACATACGTGCCGGCCAGCTGGTCTTTGCGGGCACCAGAGCACCAGAAAACAGCCCAAAAAACATCTTATATACCGAATACAGCCGCTTTTGGCCTCCTGAAGCCCCACCCCTGCATCCCATTTTGGCAAAAATGGGTGAAAATGGGCTATTTTTTGCAAAAAAAGGAGGGAGGTGTTTTTCCCTTCCTCCAGCCCCCAGGAGCATTCTGCAGGCTTCAGAAGGGCTGGGGAAGGGAAAAATGCCCCTGTTTTTGCGAAAAACTGTCCATTTATTGCCCATTTTTTTCCAAAACAGGGCATTTTCCCCTTCCCCCAGCTCCGCCGAAGCCTGCAGAGTACTCCTGGGGGCCAGGGAGGACAAAAACATTTATTTTTTCTTACCTATCTCTTCAAAATCTGTTGAAAAACTCTCCCAGTGTTTTTGATTTTGTAAAACCGTTTTTACCTTTCTTCTCAGGAGCAAGGCAGAAATTAGTATTGCAGGCTCGTGACATTGCAGGCTTCTGGTGAAGCAGACACCCAGTGGCTGGCTGGCCTTGAAGGAGACACTGCACACTCCGTGTTTGTACTCCCCCACCGCATGTCACTGTGCACTGTAGGTGAGATGCAGGAATAAGAAATTAAATCTTCACCCATTCCCCATTTTTTATACACAGGCAGTCCTCACTTACGAGTACAAGGGAGTCCAAAATTTCCATTGACAAGCAAAGAAGTTGTTAAGTGATTTGTGCCCCATTTTTACAACATTTGTTTTGTCACAGTTGTTGAACGAATCTCTGCAATTGTTAAATTAATCATGCATTTGTTAAAGCAAATCTGGCTCCCTCCCCCCACCCCCAAGTCATTGACTCTGCTGGTCAAAAGCCATCTGGGAAAATTACAAATGGTAATCACATGAACTCTATGGTAGTGTGATTGTCATAAATGCACATTCGCCAAGTGCCTGAATATTGATCATGTGGCCATGGGGATGCTGCAACTGTCGTAACTGTGAAAAGTGGTCATAAATCACTTTTTTTAATAGTGCTATTGAAACTGTGAATGGTCACGAAGCAAAGGCTTGCAAATTGAGGACTGCCTGTAATTGTTATGCATGAAGTTGCAGGTTTTACCTGGATCTAATCAAATACAATTTAAAGTTCCCTATACAGTAGTTGAATTCATAGGATGAATTTGTGTCATTTAGTTTCTCCATGCTCCTAAACTCCATGGATTGGCTGTTATGAAAATAAAGTGAAAGGAAGACACACTTATGTCATTTTGACCTTCTCCAAGGAAAGGTACACTTGATATATAATTAATACTTTCATGAACTCTTCTCTTTTTAATGATCTCTTTATAAAGATTATGACCATCTCCAAAACTATCAAAAAGTACAGGATCATTTCAATATTTATTTTTTTAAAACAAATAATTGCCATAAAAGTTACTCTCCATTTCTATATCTATTTGTAGTCGGTGATTTGAGTTTACATTAAAGTTAATTCCAGTTCATTAATAGTTTGTTTTAGGTTGGAGATGTTGTGCTCTATAATTGATATTTTTCAATGAACATATGTAGTTATTTAGTAAGATATGCCTACTTTGGCATTAGTACCCAATTTTCCCCCTTTAAGGGCTTAATCATTATAACTGAGATTAACTCAATTTTTCCCTAGTTAGCATAGTTTCTAGTTAAGTAGAAATTTCAATCTAGATTTTAGTAATCCTTGTCCAACACTATACTACACTTGCTCTCATTGGAACATGACTCCATCTAGAACATTCAACATAGAATAGGGTTAATAATAGGATTGCAAGAGACCTTGGAGGTCATCTATTCCAACCACCTGCTCAAGCAGGAGACTCTATATTATTCCAGACAAATAGCTGTCCAGTCTCTTCTTTAAAACTTCCAGAGATAGAGCAGCACAACTTTCGGAGTTAAGCCGTTTCATTGATTAACTGTTCTCATTGATTTCTCCTTAGTTCAAGGTTAAAGTTCTTTTTCATGATCTTCCACCCTGTTACTTCTTGCCTGCCCCTTGGGTGCTTTGTAGAATAGATTGAGCTCTTCTTCTGTGATAAAGCCCCTCGAGCACTAGAGTTGTGTTCAGTCTGGTTCAATATGATCTTCTCTCTTGACATCAGAACTCCAAATACACAGAAGTAACTATAAGTGGCCTTTTAAAATATTTTTTTTACCTCTTTCATCTAGAGTCACTTGATAGCAGAGAGTGGGCAAGCTGTCTGCTGTCCCAAAACTTCTCATCTGCTTTTGCTCACTGCCAAATCTGAAAACCCATCAACTAGGCTGAACTTGCAGAGAAGTGCTGAGAGATAAGCACACTTTAAATTATTTCTTCTTTGCTTCTTTGTTGGAATTTATATTGCCATGGGCAGTTAGGAAATTTGAGGAACTTGCTCTGCTATTCTATGCAGGAACAAATAATGAGTTATTACAAGTCTACCTAGAAGAAATTCCCTGAAGCGCTGGTGATGTATGTGAATGTGTCTACCAACGCTGTGTCCACAAGACAAATACAATCATTTCCATCAGATTATTAAACTTGAGCATCCTCTTTTGGCCTGTCAAATGAATCTTAGAGCCAGGTGACCCATGCAATGGAATAAGTTCCAAAACACAGAAATGTGTTTGCAAGGCAACACGCTACTCCAGACATCATAGTACTTAGGGAAATGCAGACAGCCTTTTGTTGGTCCTTGAAAACATGGATTGTGCCTGAAAACCTAAATGGTTCAAGTACCGTGCAAGTCTTTGAAGAATGAGTTGGGGAAAAAAGCAAACATGCACAGGATCACAACTGCAGGGATTTGTTGAACTAAGGGACAAACTTCAACTGCAACAATTGACTTAGCTCCACTAGTTTAATTACAGTTAATCCACAAATTACAATTGTAATGGAGCATGCCCACCATGGTCGTAAGTTGCGATGGTCATAAAGCAGGACATTGTGAGACTGGCCTGGTTTTATTACCATTAGATGGAAGTTAAAAATGGTGGGAAAAAGTGTTGTCTCCAGATCTTATATGTTTTAATTATTACTCCCTTTCTGGGTAGGGAAGCACCCACAGGTCCTTTTCTGAAGATTTACACACAACCCAAAATTTGCAATGAAGAAGCTGGCATAATTGTAGGCGTCTATATATGTTGGCCCTTGCACAATGGTGATACATTTAGCTCTTTATTCCCCAGTGAGTTCGAGGACTTGCATATTCATAGCCTCTTAGTTAGTCTGCACCTGAACATCCTTACCTGCTGCCAAGGTGAAGAATACCACCCTGATATCCTATTGTACAGAGGATGCATAGGACATGGTCCTTGGTGGCATACTTCTTCCAAATCAATGCTTGGCTTTTTAAGATTTCGACAGCGGCGCAATGGGAAAGTGATCAATTTCCCACCAATACTTTTCTCAATGCACTGCATTTCTCGCCTCCTAATACCCGGCCCACAGGTAGAAGAACACTGGGGACAATAAGAGATGTACAGAGGTTCATTTAAAGCTGGTTTGCAAAACATACAGCCCACCAGACACATTGCAAGCTATAGATCCTTTCAAAATTGGGATTTTTGTGGAGCTAAGTAATAACATGAATTTTTCAGAAGCTGGGAGAACCAATTTTATCCTTACAATCCCTACCCATCCCTAATGAGGCTCCCTTTGGGTTCTGGCCAGAGGTGGGATTCAGCAAGTTCTGATCGGTTCTGATAGCGGAACTGGTAGCAGAAATTTTGAGTAGTTCAGAGAACCAGCAAATACCACCTCTGGCTGGCCCCACCCCCATCTATTCTCTTCCTCCTGAGTCCCAGCTGATTCTGGGTGCGCTTCTTCTGGGGAAGCACAGGAAAATGGAGCTGGAAAGCAAGTTAGTGTGGTGGGGAGGGAATGGGGAGTTTACAGTATCCTTGCCCTGGAGTGGGGTGGAAATGGGGATTTTGCAGTATCCTTCCCCTGCCACACCCATCAAACCACACTCACCAAACCATGCCATGCCCACAGAACCAGTAATAAAAAAAATTGAATCCCAGCACTGGTTCTGGCCTCATTAATTTTTGGAATGTGGCTCTTGACATGTTAAATAAAGCCCACAATGGCTCTTCAGCTGCCCAATGGTGCATGTGTCTGATTCCAAAGGTATGTCCATTTCTGGTGATTAAGACCACTGGATATTTTCAAATATCCAGTGGTCTTAATCAATCAGGTCATACCAAGGGTGAAATCCAGCAGGTTCTAACAGGTTCTGGAGAACCAGTAGCAGAAATTTTGAGTAGTTCAGAGAACCGGCAAATACCACCTCTGGCTGGCCCCGGAATGGGGTGGGAATGGAGATGTTGCAATATCCTTCCCCTGCCATGCTCACCAAGCCACAGAACCGGTAGGGAAAATGTTTGAATTTCACCACTGGGTCATACTATTGATCCAATCAGACCCATTTGGTCTACACAAACTCCATTCAAATGGCAATTTATTAAGTCAACCAGTAACACACCTCTTAACAGTTTTGCAGATACATGCAGTAATCATAGCTTCTTTGGCCAATACTTGGTTTTTTTTCTTTCTCTTTCCCTAAAAAACAATGCTATGTTTGGATACTTCTGTTGCTTAGCCTTAAAAGCTTGGACAAGATGCTCATGTGTGTCAGTCTTGTCTTCTGGCAATTGACTGGGCAAGTCCCTGCAAGGCATTTTGGTGACATTTTCAGAAGTGGTTTGTCATTGCCTTCCTTGTAGGACTGAGACAGTAAGAGCCGAGGTGGCGCAGTGGTTAAATGCCGCACTGCAAGCTACTTCAGCTGACTGCAGTTCTGCAGTTCGGCTGTTCTAATCTCACCGCTCAGGGTTGACTCAGCCTTCCATCCTTCCGAGGTGGGTAAAATGAGGACCCGGATTGTTGTTGGGGGCAATATGCTGACTCTGTAAACCGCTTAGAGAGGGCTGAAAGCCCTATGAAGCGGTATATAAGTCTAACTGCTATTGCTATTGCTATTGCTATCACTGGTCCAAAACTATCCAGGTGACTTCGGTACCCAGGGCAAGACTAGGACTCACCAACCCAGTATTTTTAATCACTATCCCAAGTGACTCAATAACACATTCTACTTGATGTCTTTACTGATGATAATAGCAAGTTGCATTTTCCATGTTTTGCATTCATTAGCTTCAGCTCTTTATTCCCCTAAATTTAATGTCCCAAGTCTTTGTTAAATAGAGTGCTGCTTCCCTCTGCCCTTTATCTATTAGGTTGTGAGAAGCTTCTTAGTGAAAGAACAAAGAGAAATAGGAAAATAAACCCTGAGGCGTTTCTCAATAACTCCTAATATTGACAATGGACCAAGTCTTAATCCAGCAAAGTTCCAAGATTCTTAAATCTATAGAAGGGTGGGTGGGACATTTGTAACAACAGAGTATGTATCCTTGTAGATTTTTCATGTTGTGTTTTATAGACAAGCCTCATTACATGACTCAAAAGAAGCGTCGTTGCTTTACCTCACTCCATGCGGAAATCACCCATTGAAGACGCTCATTTTTAGGGCATCGTCCCAACACGCAGGTCTGTTGCATTTCTGGCTTGGTTTGGCTGTTGCACAAACTCTCTGGCACGATTTTTAAGATAGATGTGCCTACACTTCTGCAGGAAACCTCACGTTTCATTATGCCTCGTCCACAAGTTTTGGAACACTTTATGGGAGAAAGTCTGATGTTAGTGACCTTAAAACTGAGCCTGTTCTCCTGTCTTAGGACAATAAACCAAATAAATTTCATCCCATTCTGAGTTATATGCTACATATATAATCCCCCATCTTTCCTCCAAGAGAAAATCCAAACATATTACATTCCTAGAAATATTTCCAGTGCAGCTATTTATTTATTTATTTATTTACTTACTTACTTACTTACTTACTTACTTACTTACTTACTTACCATCCTACTTTTCTGTTTCTTCAACAACTATAGTAGTTTAAAGTAAAGGGAAAGGTTCCCCTCCGACATATGTGTAAGTCATTCCTGACTCTAGGGGATGGTGCTCATCTCCATTTCAAAGCCGAACAGCCAGAGCTGTCCGAAGATGTCTGTCTGGTATGACTCAATGCCGAAGGTGCATGGAGCACTGTTACCTTCCTGCCAAAGGTGGTCCCTATTTTTCTATTTGCATTTTTACATGCTTTCAAACTGCTAGGTTGGCAGAAGCTGGGATAATAATGGGCGCTCACTCTGTTATGCAGCACTAGGGATTTGAACTGAACTACGATGCCTTAAACCAGGATCCCTTAACTTCATTGTGGATCTTAAAGCTATGCTCAGATTATATATTGACTTATCTATCAGGCCAGAACAAATTATATATTCTTATTCTTAGTCATCATTTTCTGGGCTTTTATGAAACAAGGAGAGTGTTCACCATTTCCACCCCACTCAATATACTCCAGCACTTAGACAGCTTTTGCGAATATTTGTCAGGAATTAGCTACCAGTTAGATTCACCAACAGCCCTCTGATTCATCCACAAGCCCTCCGAAAGCTGACTGCATTTTGCAAAAGAAAAGCCACTTCATCCTCGTCCTGCAAACTCTACTGTATCCCAAACACCAAACATTTTTTTTGCTAGCCACTTCTAGCTGTAACTCGGGCTAATGATAGATGAAGCGATGTGTTTCAGAAAAGTAAGATAATACTCTGCTGTCTTAAAGAATGTTCATTAAGAGAAAGAATTTGACAGGGGGTGCTTTCATAGCTGGGGCTCCCCCCACCTCTTTTTTTTTTTCCAGAAGAGGCTGAAAGATTTTTGTGCAACAGCATATTCGCTTAAATGAAATCTGGGATACGTCTGTCTTGGCAAGTGTACAAAACAGCAAGACTTTGTTTCACTCCAGTGAAAAGGCTGCTAGACATTTCATATCTTTCAGAAAAGGGGTGTGTGTGTGTGTACATATTGGAATTTGCCTGAGGCCCTATGCTCCCAACTCTGCTTTTAAGAGCAGGTCTTTACTATATTATGATATTAGGTTGCTTGAAATGATACATTATCTAAAGGGGAGGGAAAAGAAACATCCTTCATTTTGCTGTGTGCTGCTGATCATAACTGAACATTGAATGTCTACTTTGGAAAAAAGAATTTACATATGCTTAGTGAAGTAATCAATAATAGCTATCTCTACCTTATTTGTTTTTTTATTCCTTCTTAGTACTCCGCTACGGAAAGTTTAATTTTGCCCAGCTATGTGTCATTTGATCTAGGCTTCCCAAGAGCATGAAGCAAACTCCTTGTCCCGTTGGTTGAGCTCAGCATCTTAGCCAATGAGCCACTGCGTCCCGTAAATAAATGTAAATATATGTAAATAGCCTGATTGTATGTTTATAATTAAAATTAATGTTTCTGCCCAAACCAAGCAAGAGAAGTGGTGCAGATGTCTATGGAGATTCTTAGTCATGCAGGTCATGGTTGTCCCAAATATGTTTTTTTTTCCAAGAGGCAACTGAACTTTCTGGTTCTTCTTTGAAGATGTTTCACTCATCTTCTTGGATTAAAATCCAGTTGCCCCTTGGAAAAGCACCTTTGGGACAAATTGAGGACATACATATAGAATGATGTTCATAATCAAAAATGGACAGTCCATTCTTCCTAGATTATATACTGATTGGCTCCCAACCTTCAGGCTCCCATCTCAATAGGAGATTGTGGCAAATATTTGTTTTAAAAACATTACCTGTGACCAAGGCCCAGGATTCCATTCCGGTGGGCAGTCCTGGTTATTACATGCCTGTATTTGTGCTGGAGTGGTTACTGGGCAGAGAGCATGAGCCACAACCTCTTCCTTATGAAAAGCCTTTTTCTGGACACATTGGATATGACGGCTTTGCTGTCCCCCACCACAGGACTGGCTGCAAATGCTCCATTCACCTGCTGACCAACTGAAATATATATAGACATATATGACATAACCCATTGTGATCCTTATCTCTCTCTCTATATATATAAATGGCTGTGTGTGTGTCTGTGTGTGTCTCTGTGTGTGTGTGTTTGTTCCAGCATAACTCTGGAATGCCTTGAGCAATTTCAACCAAGCACGATACACAGATGACCTACTCTCTGGAAAAAAATATTGTGGGGGAAAGACACCCCTAACACCCCTCAAGTTGTGTGTTCTGTTAAGATACAGCCTGTGGTGCCTTAAAATGGCTTCTACTGTACTGCCGTAAAATGGCTTTTACTGTACAGCACAGGGGAGTTGCCATGGTGATGGCTTCACAGTACTCCACAAGGGGGCTCCCTCTGGTAAGGGGGAAAATCCAACATTAGAAATTATGTTTGGTACGGACATTTTTCCCGTATAAATAAATACCTGGGCAACACTGGATTATCAGCTAGTTAGTAATATAAGTCTTCCTCAATTGCAAGTCCCCCACCAGAGGCCTGAGGGTTCTGTGAAGAATCTGAGCTATTCCTAACACTGTGCTCTTCTGGATAGAGCGCTCTGAGGTTCTTGGGTCTGTTGGTGACCCTTTCCCAGCTTAGGTGTCACAGCCTCAGTTGCTCCTACCACCACTGGGAACACTTCATTTTCATCCTCCCTGGTTCTTCCTTCAGGGCCTGGTATTTCTCCAGATTCTCATATACCTTCTTCTGAAATAGCTGTCACTTGGCACTTCTAGCACCACTGCTGTTTTTTGCTCCTTGACTACTGCCACAATGTCTGGTTGAGATACATGCACACTGATTCTGAAGCAGAGGTTGAAGCTATAGATATCCTCTCCATATGGGCAATTTGTGGCTCTTGGTCTATTTTCTTGCAATTTTCTAAAGACCTGTGGGAGATGTGAAGGCAAAACTCTACAAATAATTCTTTGTCCTTTTCTTTCAGCTGATGGGGAGAATAACGAAGGTGCTAAGCACAGATTGCTTAAGACTCATTTAAAATTATTCCTGGGCTATGTTTTTAATTAACAAATTATCCAATCAAAGGGCCAAATAAAAGTACCTACATACAGTTTTGTCTAGTTTATATTCTATTTTATGTGCTCTATTCAAAAAGGAGGAAAAATCTATTGGGACAGGAAATGACAGGAAAAAATATATGCTATACCTTTAATTTAACAAGCCATTTTGGGGTGGGTGGAGGGGAATGTCCATTAAGCCCAAAATGTCTCTTCAATCTGAATGCATGTAATTAAAGCAGCGCATGACATTTGCATAATGACATGCTTGATGTTTTTATAGATTTGATGCCACTTGCATCAAATGAAATAATCTGATGAAAATTAGATAAAACCTCAATTATGTCATTACACAGATAAGATAATTGGTGCAAATGATGAAAACATCAATTAGCTCATTACAGGAATGATGTAAATAACATTGTTTGGATAGACCTCAGAAACAAAGGACTTCATTATTTTGTGGGGGTAAATTTTAAATGCAAATTTGGCCTGTTGCATTCAAAGTCCATTAAAAGGAGGTCATTGAATGGAGGTTTTACTTGAAATGCATTTTCCCCCCACTTTAAATGCTACCATTGTGATCTTCAACTTTACTGCTTTAGAATTTTGCTCTCAGGAAAACATTTACTTGAATCATATTAGATATACAAAGTAAAAAATTACCTATTTTAAAGATATGCAAACTGTTTCAAATTCAAATTACTTCCAATTGTAAATGGTTTGTACTTTTATATATAATTGTTGTAAAACACTCAATCGGTTGAGAATAGGGTGGAGAACAAAGCAAATTAGGAGAAGAAATAATAAAGAATAAAGCAATTACATAAAATGGGCTGTATAGATCACATTCAAATTCATATTTGTATTGTTTTACTTCATCCGGTTTGCATGAATTTTGATTCTTGCTAGAGATTCCACCTAGGGCTGCTAAGGTAAATAATTTGGACAGTGACATTGATTGTTGCACATTAATCTAAGGATTCTGATATGAATATTTTATGTCTGAATGCTGAAAATGTTACTTTTTTTTTGAATGCCAAGGCAAAACAAGGAAGTTAAGGCAATGAAAATTGAATCGTTACATTATTAATGCTGCTTATGCAGGCCAAACCTGCATTCTTTGGAATTAAGGACACTACTAAAAACCCTCTTGCCTTGGCAAAACTCTTCCCAGACTTCATTTGATAGGTTCACTCTTGAAGGACTTCTTCAGTCCTATTACAAGCCATGACCTACAACCTTTCTCCTATCTACAGATATATTATATCCTTGGAGGTTCTTTCTGCGCCAACTCAGAAAGCTCAAAATGCCCAAAGAGCTCTACAGAGGAATTATTGAGTCTGGTTTGGCTTTGCAATCCAACAAGACAGACACAGACTTCAGAGGATAATTAGAATTGCAGAAAAAAACAATTGCTACCAATCTACTTGTATTTGTATTTGCCTTCCATTGAGGACCTGTACACTGCACAAGTCAAAAAGAGGGCTGTGAAAATATCTACAGACCCCTCACATCCTGGATATAAATTGTTTCAACTTCTACCCTCAAAATGACGCTATAGAGCACTGCACACCAGAACAACGAGGCACAAAGACAGTTTTTCCCGAATGCCATCACTCTGCTTAACAACTAATTTCCACAACACCGTGAAACTATTTACTAAGATTGTATTGCTATTATTATTCTCTTCCTTTGTAATATCTATCTCTTCCCACTTATGATTATAACCATGTTGCTTGTATCTTTCCATTTACATTATTCAATTTGTTTACTAGTACAGTTTGATAGCTTATTATTAACCTTGACTATCACTAAGTGTTATAAGTTTTTATTCTTAATGAATGTATTTTATTCTCCTTATGTACACTGAGAGCATATATACCAAAGACAAATTTCTTGTGTGTCCAATCACACTTGGCCAATAAAGAATTCTATTTTATTGAAACTGGGAAGGGAGCCGGCCTCCATGATGTGTTAACTACATGGAAGAAAATCAAATCATGACATGTACATGGCAGAGATGCAGAACATATAGTTGATGGATTTCAAAGGATGTAAAATAATTTAGTTCTAACTAAAGCCTTCTGTTGACCTGCTTCCCTTTCGGTGGCCAACTGAGCTGGACAAGCCAGCCTTGTGACCAAAACATCACAGTTATAAAATGGTATCTTCTAATGATACACGTAAGATCCATACACAAGCTGCAAAGTACAGCTTGTATTTGGCACCATAGCCAAGGGATGCCACGATAGCTACTTGTGTGGTTCTTTCGCCAATTAAAATAAATGCTACATTTTAGAAGCTTCCAGCCACAATTAAAAGGCAAAACACAAACATCTATAGGGAAGGCTGAAGGAAACTTAATGGAAGGCTTTTCTCTCGGAGAGAAAGCAGAGCCCAGAGTACAGGAATAAGCCTTTGGCAGAAGATTAGTCACACCCAAACAGAATCCTTGGCTAGGAAGATTATCTCAAAATTAGTTGTCAGACAATGGCATGGCTCAGAGCAAGGCAATAAATTTGCTAAAACCATCACATGATATGTTACCCTAATTAAACCTTATCTCTGCCTTTTTGTGATTCTCTTATGGTTTCCCCTGCATCACCTGCAGTGTGTGTTTGTGGGTGTGTACGCATGCCTATGTGTCAACTCCAGATTCCTTATTACAGAGGAGCAGAAAGTAAGAATACCAATGAGCCCTGGGTTGGTGCCCCAGATACGGAAGTCATCAGGCTAACTTATTTTAACATTAATGTTAAGCATTAACAATAATATCCACCACCCTTTGCACCTACTCTTACTTTCTTCTGATTGTTTTTGGAGGACACCCCCGCTCTGGAAAGACACTCAAAAGGTCCAATATGAGTCAGAAAATGTGGATAAGGATGACAGGAAGCAGCATTGGGACCAGGAATTTGTGTGCAGTGTAGAAATGTCATCAGTGGAGACGCCCAAGTGACGATCATTGAAGGTGCACCACGGGAGCAAAACAATGACCATGTAAAGGGCAAATCTTCACATAATGCTTTACTCTGTTTAGTTCTTGAGCTAAAGCATTCCTTCATAGCAAAACTGTACAGTGACGCCGAATTTACCAATAGTAAAACAGAGCAGCTCCCCTGTTTCTCTTTGCTGGGTATCTTGAAGCATGGATCTTTCTGGTGGTTTCTCCAATATCACCTTAACTATAGAATGGGGATCCTAAAACTTTTTAAACAGGGGGCCAATTCACGGTCCCTCAGACTGTTGTGGGGGGCTGGACTGGCTGGGTGAGCGTGATTAGGTGTGTGTGTGGCTGGGTGGACATGGCAAATTTAGCAATCCAAACAATACACACAAATTAAACTTTAATTTGTTATGCTCCTGGGGGTGGAAAGCAGGTTAGTGAAGGGATGTGGCTGCCTTGGAGTATGTGTATGCGTGTGTGCATGTGCGTGAGAGGACTTCTGCATATGTGTGTGTGTGTGTATGTGTGTGTGTGTCTCCATCTCTCTCTCTCTCTGGAGGCTGGGGAGACCAAAAAAAGGCCCGTTTTTGGCCTCCTGAGGCCTCCAGTACCACTCTGCCACCTAAAAACAAACCCGCTTTTGGCCTCCCAGGGCCTCTGCGCATCCTGTTTTTGGCCTCCTCTGCCTCCAGAAGGTGGGTGGGGGCTGGCAGGTAGGTGGAGTGATATGGGTGGGGCAGGCCAGGTAATGGCTTTGGCGAGCCACATCCAGCTTGCAGGCCGTAGTTTGAGGACCCCTGCTATAGGAGAACCTCTTTAAGAATTCAGAGCTTTCTCAGTCTGGTCTGCAATTGTCCAAATTCACTGAAATCGATGTGCACAAGACGCTCATTATCTGGAGATGTAATCCTCAAAAAGATTTGTTCTCTCGATACAGTGGTTAACCGTATCAAGTTTCAACTGTGAATAAGACATGGCTTGATTTCTGCTGATTAGAACCTGTTTATTGCACAAGCTGAACATCTTATCAATCTCTTGCTCTTATCTAGACCAAAGATCCCCTTTCCAAATTACTATGGATTTAGGGATACTGAATTTCAAGAGAAGCACTTTAGCTCTACTCAGTTTGCCTCTTGTTTCTTCCTCTGGCAGCAATTCTCTTAAAGCATTTTAAAGAAGAGGTTTTCTGCCAATGTTGTTCCTGTGTCCCTCTTTTGGATTGTACTTCCCCAAAATGGTAACCTCTCAAGGAGGAAAGGAGGGAGGAAGGAAAGAAAGAAAGAAGGGGAAAGAAGGAAAATGAAGGTATATTGAGCAATTAGATCTCAGAGCAGATAACAATAGCCCTGTTTGCTTAGACATCATCATGAAATCACTTGTGATGCTTTCACCCAACTCATAAAATTAAAAGCGTAAGTTCCCTCCTCAGCTAAAAAAGATTTTCTGCCCTGTCTTTAAAGTATACTAAGTTATAGCCCTTTACAAAACACAGAATGCAGAGTAATGGAGTTGGAAAGGACCTTGGAGGTCTTCTAATCCAATTCCCTACTCTATCCCATTCCAAACAAATGGCTGCCCAATCTCTTCTTGAAAGCCTCCATGGATGGAGCGCCTACAACTTCTGAAGGCAAACTACTCCATTGGTTCATTGTTCTCACTGTCAAGAAGTTTCTCTTTAGTTCTAGATGGGATCTCTCCTTGATCAATTTGCATCTGTTACTTCTTGTCCTGCCCTTAGAGAATAAGTCAACCTCCTCTTCTTTGCGACAGTATCTCAGATATTGGAAGACTGCTATCATGTCACCCATAATCATTCTCTTCATTAGACTGGAGAAACCCAGTTATTGCAACCCTTCATCAAAGTTTTACCCTTCAGATAAATTATCATCTTTGTTGTTTTTCTCTTCACTCTTTCTAGAATCTCAACATCTTATTTGTGTTGTGTTGTATTGTATTGTACATTGTATTGTACCTTCAGCATCTTCAATGCAGAGATATTGAGAATCTAGGAAAGGAAGGTACACCTACTGAGATTCAGCTGTTACAATCTGAATCAGAAATCAAACTTTTTTGCTCCACTGCTCATCTGTGCAAGGGGCACAAGTGAAATTTTCAGAGTTACTCCACAATCAACTTTAACCTCTATCCAATTTTGGGGATTGTCAGCTAAAGTAAAAGTCTATACTTACTAGGCAGGGCAAGGATTTGCATTGCACATCATTGTTTCTGTTAAAGGTTTTGTCCTTGGGCCACAAAATGAAGAATTTACACGGGTTTGATGATCCTGTAAACACACAGCTTTGGCTATCAAATGCCCTGCAAGGAATTTT